TTCTTTGGAAAGAAGCCCATACTCAAGGATGGAGTGTTATGCCCCCTAAAACTTTTTCATTTTCCTTTTTAAATTTAATGCTCTCCATAGCTTATAAATGTACAAATGTTATCATACTTTTCTAGATGAAAAACAATGAGACTTACAGAAGTTGGTTAAGGTTGCAAAGCTAAAAAGTGCTAAGGTTAGGAAGTAAATCCAAGCTATGTGAATCCCAGCTTAGTGTTCTTTTCATTGTGACGTACTCAATATCAAGGGCACAAATTATGTAAGTAAATTTTAGGCTCCACATTATCCCACCATCAGTCTTTTTCCAGGCACTTCTATTTCATTCAACGGTTTCCTGTATCTTTGGCCATGATTGCTCTTTTCTATTAACTCAACCAACTTATACTCCTAGACCAAAGCCATGTTTTTTTTCTGTTTTCTTTGTCCTAGAGAAACAAAATTATTTTTCAAACCAGTTCCCAGAAACATCTTTCCACTTCTCTGAAGCTACCCTACAGAAATTACTTAAACTACCTTCCCTGGTAACTTTGTGTAATTAATGAAAAAGCCACTGGACACTAGTTTTATTTTAAAAAAAAACAAAAAGGAAAATGGAAGAGCATATAATACAGTAGTTAAGAGCTCAGACTCTTGAGTCAGAAAGTTCTGAGACTAAATTTCAGTGCCATCACCACCACTTAGACCATGGAAAAGCCATTTAACCTTCTTAAAATCATTATCCCTATTTGTAATCTTAAAGCATTCTGTAATTAAAAGAGGTAGCCACGCAGTTTTCCATGCAATATGTGTATAAAAGCTGTATGATTTGCAGAATAGTCTACAAAATTTAAAAACAGAAGCCTAAGATGAACTTGGAATTTTTAAATTTCAGATTATCTTGTACCTTTGATAAGAGAATATTAATATATCTAGTTAAATAACGAACAATAATTACAGATGCTCCTCAATTTACAGTGGGGTTATGTCCTGATAAACTCATCATAAATTGAAAATATACTAAGTCGAAAAGCATTTAATACACCTAACCTACTGAACATCATATTTTAGCTTAGCTGACCTTAAACATACTCAAAATGCTTACACTGGCCTACGGCTGATCAAAATCATCTGGCATCACGGTACACTGTAGAGTGTTGGCTGTGTATGCTCATGATCACATGGCTGACCGTGAGCTGTGGCTCACTGTCGCTGCCCAGCATCACAAGGGAATACTGTACTGCATATCACTAGCTCAGTAAAAGATTAAAGTTCGAAGTATGATTTCCACAGAGTGCATATCACTTTCACACCATCATAAAGTCAAAAACTTGTTAAGTAAATCCATCTTAAATTGGGGACCACCAAATTTAATTTGAATTGCGGACTACTTTGAATAAACCACAGGTTTTTCTGGAAAAGAAATCTATTTTATACAATTCCTCTCTGAGACAAGCATAGAGAAGAAAATTTCCCAAAAAGTCAATGATATACTAAGCTCATACATTCCTGTATTCACCAGTATAATTAATAATTAATAAAGGATTTGCTGAAAATCCCTGTCAGAGGCCCAACCACCCTTCTTCCATAATCAGTGACAGTTCTTCATATGCTAAAGCAATGCAGCTTCCCCAAGGCAATTAATCTATTCTATCACTCCAGACAAAAGCAAAACAGAAGCAGAGAGGAAATTTCAACTGGAAAGTATTTATGTAATTGACCCAGATAACAAACTAAACTTACGCAATATGTCAAATGTCACAGTCTACACAAAAACACATATATATGCCACAGGGTAATAAGAGCCCACACAAGCCAAGATGAAATCTCCACCCTGAGTACAGTACATATCTTTAAATCCCTGTTGAGAAAAGATACATAAGGGAAGCTAAAAGCTTCTTTCATAAACTTAGAGGAAAAAATTTAAACCTATCAAAATATCTTGCAGATTAAAAGTAATTACCATTGTGAAAAGTGATAAGGAGTTTTTCCTTTCAAAATATCTAAAACACCTGGGTTTCCTAACTGGCTAGAGAATTCTAGTATATGTCTACTTTTTTTCTGATCACTTTCAAAATGTGTAAGACTTGCTCTTTCAAAATCTCAAACTAAATTGTAACATTTATATCCTGTAGGAAACAAACATACAGGTTGAAACTAAACATGTAGGTTGAAAAAAATGTTGCCAACTTTTTTTTTGCACAGAGAGTTAAAATTAAAGAGAATAGGGCCGGGCACAGTGGCTCATGCCTGTAATCCTAGCACCTTAGGAAGGCAAGGTGGGCAACTGCCTGAGCTCAGGAGTTTGAGACCAGTCTGGGCAACATGGCAAAACTCTGTCTCTACTAAAAATACAAAAAATTAGTCGGGTGTGGTGGTGCGTGCCTCTAATCCCAACTACTTGGGAGGCTGAGGCATGAGAATCACTTGAACCCGGGAGATGCAGATTGCAGTGAGCCAAGATCTTGCCACTGCACTCCAGCATGGGTGAGAGAGCAAGACTCTGTCTCAATAAAAAGAGAATAGAATATGAATTCCCAACTTCTTTGGCTTCATTTTCTCATCCATAAGCTACTTTTAAACAGTATTGCTACTTTAAAACTTTCCTCACAAACGCTGAATAGACTAAAATAAAAGGACCAATGAAAATGCTAGCAGAAGGCAAATCACTTTCATGTTCCCAACTTTGTATTTTAAAAAATTTAAACATATAGGAAAGTTGAAATAATAGCACATGCTGAGCATCCCTAAATCTAACAATCCAAAATGCTCCAAAATTCAAAACGTTTTGATTCAAAGAAAACGCTCACTTCACCATTTTAGATTTCAAGTTTTCAGATTAGGGATGCTCAACTGGGAAGTATAATGCAAATATTTCAAAACGCAAAAAAAGTCAAAATCTAAACACTTCAGGTCCAAAACATTTCGATAAGGGATATTCAATCTGAAAATTAAAAACCCATCGTTTATTAAGTATCTCCACACAGATTCAAAAACTGAATAATACTGTTGAACTACACTAAATTCTAAACTGAATAAAAATCCACACTAAATAAAAATTAGTAACTAGAACACATAATTTCTGAGTTACGAACTGACTTGATCAAGATAATTTGTTAAGATCATGTAGCTTTTCTGTCTCTGATGTAAAAGCTAATGAAAAAGCTTAAATAAATGAACGTCTGCCTGGTTATTTTATATGAATAGTGTACAATTTAAACCTTTTAAAGAATCATTTACAATTTCCTCATAGTGAATAAAAGAGTAAAAGTGAAATTGTCTAAGGTTATGAAATGGTTATGTTCAAAAAAGATAATAAATATATTTCTAAGTAATTCTAGGATAGTCCAGAGAGCAGTCTTAGTAGTATCTGAATTGTTACCATGGATCACAAAAAAAGTAAGATATTAGCTTGTAAGAAAATAAGCGTGCTCTTGAGAGTCAAGCCTAAAACTTATTTGATGAGAACTTGGCTCACACATTCTCAAGTAAGTTTTAGACTTCCAGTAGACAAGAAAATTTCTCATACTATGAATATACAACTGTAGAATATACAAGGTAAAACCAGAAAAATGGAGATGACAGTAAAAAGACTAGAAAATGCCAGTAAACAGCCATCCCCATTACTACAAGATAAAAGGAAAGGACCAGGAAAAATCAAGATGTCCTAGAAAATTTCAAAATCATTCATTACCTCAACCCTTAAAATCGCAACCTTGGCTGTGTGCAATAGCTCACTCCTACAATCCCAGTACTTTGGAATGCTAAGGTGGGAGGGCTGCTTGAGGCCAGGAGTTTGAGACTAGCCTGAGCATCAAAGTGAGACCCTGTCTCTACAAAAATGTTAAAAAGTTAGCTGGTGTGATGGTACACACCACCTATAATCCTAGCTGCTCAGGAGGCTGAGGCAGGAGGATAACTTGAGCCCAAGAATTTGAGGTTACAGTGAGCTATAATCATGCCACTACACTTTGGCCTGAGCCATAGAGTGAGATCGTGTCTCAAAAACAATAACAAATAAACCTGCAACCTTTAAAAAGGTAGTTGTGATCATGCTGTAAATGGTCTCCTTCCCCATCTTTACGCTCCAGTATCTTCTAGAAGATAATAGAAAGTATGTTGAAGATACTGACTCTTAAAGAACAAAGAGCTTAATCACACTTAAGTATCATTCCATATAAATCTTAAGGCCAAAAGTTGACAAATTACTCTGAAGTTAAGTTTTATGCTTGCAAACTACCAATGACTTAAATGTTCTAAGATAGAAAATGCACTGTTATGCAAAAAAACTCCCTGATAATACCAAAATAGATGATGTACCTTTTCTGAAATGTACCTTTTCTGAAATGAAGTGACAGTTAATCTATTTAGGTACATACTCTTGTGATCTAGTCCACAGAAATTGATTTAAGATTTTGTGGGTTAAGTGCCTGGATATATCATAATGCTATATAAAATATCTGGTCCTAAAGTAAATGTACAACTACATATCAAGAAAGATTATCTATACCAGTTAATGAGGGCAGAGCAATGAACAAATAAAACGTGTGTGTGTGGCTCAGAATAAAAACAAGGCACATACACTTTCTGATTGGAAAATTTTTTAAAAGAATTTAGTGTACCATAACAAGTGTCTTATTTATTTCAAAATTCTATGTATATAAATATTGAATTCACTATCATATTTATCTTTTAAGTCCTGATTAAACAAAAGTCTATAATTAAAAATGTAGAAACAAAAAAAAAATTTCTTTTACACATGGATATAAGAAATATCAGGATCAAACAACAAAATAAAGCAGTCTTCAGAAGGTCCACCATGATTTGCTGATTACGTGCACTGATTTATTTCTTATCTCTCATCTCCCTATATTATATTGCCATCAACAACAAATTTTAAAAAAGTATCACTGCTCCTTAAGATGCCTTTATTCATTCTCCAAGACAGGAGTCAGAGGATGGGAGTCGGCAGAGGCCAAGAGAAAGAGTAGCCATTAAAAAATTTAACATCCTACCTTTATAGCTAGAAAATTCAGTCCACTCTCATTGGCCAAAGCCTTTGCTATCATTGTTTTAGAACACCCAGGTGGCCCATACAGAAGAACTCCTTTAGGTGGCTGAATACCCATTCGAATGAAAGACTCTGGATGTTTTAAGGGCCATTCCACAGCCTGTTTCAACTTCAGTTTGATATTTTCCAGTCCTCCTATATCTGACCAGGATACCTGAAAAATAGGACATTTTCCAAATGTAAGTTTTGCCAGGACAAACAGAGAACTAAAAAAAAGATAAAACATATCATTAACAGAAGTCATGCAAAAAAGAATAGAACCATTTAAGAATCAGGAAAATCCTTTTAAAAATTCCAAGAATATGCAGAAGTAAATTAGGAGTACATAAAATGTTAACTGCGTACTGTAAAAATACTAAAAAAAAAATTCTGTTTGTAAGTCTTGTAAAAATAACTGTTTAAACAATTGAACATACCATTAAGTCTAACCTTCTAGAAAGACTTAGAAGTTACATTTCACCTGTCTGAAAGTGGTTTGAGTCAGTCATCCAAGGTCATCTATATATCTAATTTCTTACACTTCTTTTTTAGCAAAACTACTTCCAAGTATATTTTTGTAGACATTTATGGAACACAACCACTTTTATCTTTGGCATATAAATAAAATATCTCCAAGATTTTATTTTTCTCAACTAAGAAATACCCCCAGAACAAGACAGCTCTTTACATAACATGTCTTAAGAATATATGCATATCATATATTCTTAAGAGAGATCCAAGATGGCTGATCACTAGCAGCTCGGGATTGCAGCTCCCACTGAAAGAGCAGAGAACGAGAGGACGCCACACTTTCAGATCAATTTTTGTTGCTCACACACCAGGAGATTCCCAGCGGAGGAGCCCCACCTGTCGCCAGCGTGACTCTTGAGGCCGGTGAGGCGGTTTTGCCGCTGCCTTGGTGTGGCGGTTCTTGGTGCAGAGTCAGAAAAGCACCATCAATCTTAAAGCCGCTGTTTTGGCCGGAGCAGTGGGTTGCTCAGATTCTAGCGCCGGGAATCAACAAGTTGGACGTCCATTCAGAAACCCAACTATAAAGACGGTAATTATAAAGACCACAGATGGATAAATTTATAACGAAGGGAAGAAAACAGCCTAAAAAGGCTGAGAATACCCAAACTCAGAACGCCTCTCCCTCTACAGGGGATCACAGTTCCTCATCAGAAACAGAACAAGGCCTGATGGAGAAAGGCTGTGTTCCATTAGCAGAAGCTGGCTTTAAAAAGTGGATGATAAGAAACTTCTGGGAATTAAAAGAACTTGTTCTAACCCAATGCAAAGAAACTAAGAACTTTGAAAAAAGGTTTGACGAAATGTTAACAAGAATACACAATTTAGAGAGGAATATAAGTGAATTAATGGAGCTGAAAAATACAACACGAGAATTTTGCGAACTATGCACAAGTTTTAACAGCCGAATTGATCAAGTAGAAGAAAAGATATCAGAGGTCGAAGACCAACTTCATGAAATAAAACAAAAAGACAAGATTAGAGAAAAAAGGATAAAAAAGAACGAGCAAAGTCTCCAAGAAATATGGGACTATGTGAAAAGACCTAATCTACGTTTGATAGGTGTACCTGAATGTGACGAAGAGAATCAATCCAAGCTGGAAAATACGCTTCAGGATATTATTCAGGAAAACTTTCCCAACCTAGCAAGGCAGGACAATATTCAACTCCAGGAAATACAGAGAACACCACAAAAATATTCCTCAAGAAGGCCAACCTCAAGGCACATAATTGCCAGATTCACCAGGGTTGAAATGAAAGAGAAAATACTGAGGGCAGCCAGAGAGAAAGGTCAGGTTACCCATAAAGGGAAGCCCATCAGACTCACAGCAGATCTCTCAGTAGAAACCCTACAAGCCAGAAGAGAGTGGGGGCCAATATTCAACATCCTTAAAGAAAAAAACTTGCAACCCAGAATTTTACATCCAGCCAAACTAAGCTTCATAAGCTAAGGAAAAATAAAATCTTTTGTGAACAAGCAAGCACTCAGAGATTTCATCACCACCAGGCCTGCTTTACAAGAGCTTTTGAAAGAACCACTACAAATAGAAAGGAACAACTAGTATCAGCCTTTCTAAAAAATACCAAAAAATAAAGAACATCAACATATTTAAGAAATTGCATCAACTAACGGGCAAAACAGCCAGCTAACATTAAATGACAGTATCAAACACACATATATTGTTATTAATTTTAAATTTAAATCGACTAAATCCCCCAATCGAAAGACACAGACAGGCAAAAAAAGCCAAGACCCATTGGTATGCTACATCCAGATCCATCTCACATGCAAGGATACATAAAGACTCAAAACAAAGGGATGGTGAAAAATTTACCAACCAAATGGAGAGCTAAAATAAATAAATAGAAAGCAGGAGTTGCAATTTTTGCTGATAAAATAGATTTCAAAGCAATAAAGATCAAAAGAAGCAAAGTAGGATATTACATAAAGATAAAAGGATCAATGTAACAAGAAGAGCTAAAGACCCTAAACATATATGCACCCAATACAGAAATACCCAGATATATAAGACTTACAAAGAGACTTGGACCCCCACACAATAATAGCGGGAGACTTCAACATCAATATTAGATAGATCAATGAGACAGAATGTTAACATCGATATCCAGGACTTGAACTCAGATCTGGAACAAGTAGACTTAATTAACATTCATAGAACTCTCCACTTTAAATACACAAAATATACACTCCTATCAGTACTACATCACACGTATTTACAGGTTTAAATGAAATATTGGTTGGCTGCTTGTTAATTATTTTATTCCCTCATTTTTTTTTATGTCTCTATTATTAAACACAATTACAGGCATACCCAGTTTTAGACTGCATTCTAGCCCGGGCAATAAAGCAACACCCCTGTTCTCTCTCCCTCTTCCTCTTCCTCTTTCTTCCTTTCCTGTATTCTTTTTCTTTTTTTTAAAAAAAAAAAAAAAGAATATATGCATACCAGAAAACAAACAAAAGAAATCGAAGAATGGGACAGGAATTCACACCGTTGAAGGACGTAACAACTGTAACTACCAATAATCATGAACAACCACAGTACAACAGAAAGGATACTAAGTACAATAACAAACAAAAAAGGCCTTTGGGAGTTCCCAAGAAGAAAAGATTACTTCTAGCTGGAAGACAAACCTGAAAGCCAACCCTGAGGCTGAGGCAGGAGAATTGCTTGAACTCATGAGGCAGAGGTTGCAGTGAGCTGAGATCGGGCCACTGCGCTACAGCCTGGGTGACAGTGCGAGACTGCATCTCAAAAATAAAAGGATACTGTAGATGAGATTTGGAAATGCAAGAACAGGGAAATGGCTAGGTACAGGCCAAAAAAATGACAGAAGGCTCAGAGGGTAAGAAGTATAGAAAGGATAAGAGAAAAAATATTGGAGGGAAGGAAATAAAGAAAAGTTGAAGTCACATGGCATAGCACCCTGAAGACCAGATGAAGGAATTCAAGATAGCTCTTTGTACATACTTGGAAGTCTTTGAAGGTTTTTTAATTTAGAAGGCAATATGGTCTGATATGTCCTTCTGGAGGACTCCTCTGACAAGATTCATTAGAGAGATCAATTAATGGCATAAATATCAGAAGAAGAAAAAAGATTGAACTAGAGTAAACATGCAGATAACGAAAATTCACTGGAAAGATACTTCAGAGCTAAAGTTGCGGGTTCTGAGAGTAGAATAAGAAACAGGAAAAAGTTAAAACTACATTTGGAGGGGGTGGTGAAAAAGAAAATGGAATCAAGGTAATATTCAGGATTCAGACTTGGAAAAATAAGCAATTAGAAGTTACATGAATAGAAAGAAGGGAACATGTTTGGGAACTAAGGAACATAATACATAAGGTAGCAATGGGATATGCGGTAGACAAATACGGACTATGTGATGACGAATTAATCCATATGAACGGAAAGATTATCTGGGGACTGAGTGATGCATTCTCTACCCTTAATTTCTTTGCAAGTACGTACAGACCCCATGTTGTAATGAATATTCCATCATAAGCATAACTCCTTCTTAATAAAAGTATTCATTAGAGCACGTAAGCTCTCACATATAAAGTACTTTACTCATATTGCTTTATAACCTAAGTACAGTACAAACTTTAAAAACCAGTGTCACACTCTTCAAAATACTATAGAAATCAATTCAATTGTATTGTACAAGTAATCCATAGACCAAGCTTGTCCAACCTGCAGCCCAACACAAATTCGTAAAGTTTGTTAAAACATTGAGATTTTTTTGTATTTTTTAACTCATCAGCTATAGTTCAAGTTAGTGTATTTTTTTTAGTTCAATATAATTTAAAAATGTATACAGCTGAAGGGGGGATATGATATTTTGTTAAAAGAAACCAATTTTCACAGCATATATTTGGCCATTTTACCTTTGTAGCGAATAACAGAAAAGGAAGTTTCTTTTCAAGATCCTCACTCCAGCATACTCAGCCAGGTGGGCGCGGTGGCTCACACCTGTAATCCCAGCTCTTTGGGAGATGAAGGCAGGCGGATCACGAGGTCAGGAGATTGAGACCATCCTGGCCAACATAGTGAAACCCCGTCTCTACTAAAAATATAAAAAAATTAGCTGGGTGTGGTGGCGCACACCTGTAGTCCCAGCTACTTGGGAGGCTGAGGCAGAAGAATTGCTTGAACTCATGAGGCAGAGATTGCAGTGAGCCGAGATCACGCCACTGCACTTCAGCCTGGGTGACCGTGCAAGACTCCATCTCAAAAATAAAATAAAACAAAATAAAGCTGGGAAAAAAGTGAAAGGATTCCTTAACTCATTGTCTGCGACAAATCCAACTACCCTTTAACTCTTAACAAGTCCAAGTATAAAATATTGAAATTTACAAGATGCTCCATTTAATGGAACAACTCAAATGCTAAAAAATTAGATCAAGTAACATGCTTTAGTATTTTTAAATGTTACTTAAAACTTAATGAGATAAGATATACAGCACATTCTTGGTATTATAAACTACTGACGACTGCTACTTCATGGTCAAAAACATTTTAAAAAGAGAAGAAACCATACATATTGGTATACAACAACGTCTGCAGGGAATGTCATATTTTACATTTTGTTAACTGAAATTAAACCTGACAAAAAAAAAAAAGGTC